TTCATTTCGCATGACTTGGAGGATTTCACTTCGGCTGTTCAAAAGTGTAGTTTGCATAGCTTTTAGATTTTCTTCCATTATTCTTCGATCTTCTTTTCTACTTTCTTCCATTATTCTTTGATTTTCTTCCATTATTCTTCGATTGTCTTCCATTATTCTGCGATCTTCTTTTCTACTTTCTTCCATTATTCTTTGATTTTCTTCCATTATTCTGCGATCTTCTTTTCTATTTTCTTCCATTATTCTTTGATTTTCTTCCATTCTTCTTCGATCTTCTTTTCTATTTTCTTCCATTATTCTTTGATTTTCGCTCAAGATTTTCATCATTTTGGTCAGTTGTTCCTCCATGTTGGCTGTTTGCGCTCTTGTGGTAGTCGGCATAAAATTTTCTTCTAGAAACTTCTAGAGTCTTGACGGACGTCGCGCGAGAGAATTTTCTCGAAAGTTCACTTTGTTCCGGTCTCCCCTAGTAGCACCAACACAAATTCGAATCCCGATTTATTTCACAATTAATCCCACTTCTGACACCAGTGTTACGATTGACGGGCGTATAATAAATCGGGCGTTGGTGAAACTCAAATATTTATTTCTTTAGCTCGAATTACAACACTATCTATTGCAACGAATATGTACAGAAATTAATCCGGCGCTCTCGACTGTCTTCACTGGATGAATGAATCCATTACCTACGGTCGCCTCTATTTAAACCCATAGTCTCTGATCGAGATCCTTCACGAACATCCATCGCGACTCCGCTTCGAGACTCCCCTGGACGCCGCTTCGAGACGCTCCAGACCTGTCTTTATGCGCCCGCCTCTCGGCCGTCAACAGCGATGATTCACCCATCAGCGCCGTGCGTACGTCCAGAAGGCTCTCGACCGCCATAGGCGTCGTACTGGGGCGGCGTAAGGGTGTATTTCGTAACAGTATCTTAAATATCGTTGGGACTCCCGAGAAGGTTTCATCTTCTTTAAAAAGAACAATTGGAGCCCCTGAGAAGGTTACTTTTTCTTAAAAAAAGACACTTTGGACCCCCGAGAAGGTTTCCTTTTCTTAAAAAAAAACACACTTTGGGCCCCTGAGAAGGTTTCATCTGCTTCAAAAAGGACAATTGGAGTCCCTGAGAAGGTTTCTTAAAAAAGACAGTTTGGGTCCCCGAGAAGGTTTTATCTTCTTTAGAAATGACATTTGGGGTCCTCGAGAAGGTTTCTTTTTCTTAAAAAAAGACAGTTTGGGTGCCCGAGAAGGTTTTAGTATCTTAAATATCGTTGGGACCCCCGAGAAGGTTTCATCTTCTTTAAAAACAACTATTGGAGCCCCTGAGAAGGTTATTTTTTCTTAAAAAAACACACTTTGGGCCCCTTAGAAGGTTTCGTCTGCTTCAAAAAGGACAATTGGAGTTCCTGAGAAGGTTTCTTAAAAAAAAGACAGTTTGGGTCCACGAGAAGGTTTTATCTTCTTTAGAAATGACATTTGGGGTCCTCGAGAAGGTTTCTTTTTTTTAAAAAAAAAGACACTTTGGGTGCCCGAGAAGGTTTTAGTATCTTAAATATCGTTGGGACACCCGAGAAGGTTTCATCTTCTTTAAAAAGAACAATTGGAACCCCTGAGAAGGTTACTTTTTCTTAAAAAAAAGACACTTTGGACCCCCGAGAAGGTTTCCTTTTCTTAAAAAAAACACACTTTGGGCCCCTGAGAAGGTTTCATCTGCTTCAAAAAGGACCATTGGAGTCCTCGAGAAGGTTTCATCTTCTTTGAAAAAGACAATCGGAGCCCCTGAGAAGGATTCTTTTTCTTAAGAAAAGACAGTTTGGGTCCCCGAGAACGTTTTATCTTCTTTAGAAAGGACAATTGAGGTCTTCGAGAAGGTTGCTTTTTCTTAAAAAAGACAGTTTGAGTGCCCGAGAAGGTTTTACTATCTTAAAAAATAAGTTGTAACCCCGGAGAAGGTTTCATCTTCTTTAAAAAGGACAATTGGAGCCCCTGAGATGGTTTCTTTTTCTTAAAAAAAAGACACTTTTGGCTTCCGAGAAGGTTTCATTTTCTTTAAAAAGGACAATCGGCGCCCCTGAAAAAGTTTCTTTTTCTTAAAAAAGGACAGTTTGGGTCCCCGAGAACGTTTTATCTTCTTTAGAAATGACAATTGGGGTCCTCGAGAAGGTTTCTTTTTCTTAAAAAAAAGACACTTTGGGTGCCCGAGAAGGTTTTAGTATCTTAAATATCGTTGGGATCCCCAAGAAAGTTTCATTTTCTTTAAAAAGAACAATTGGAGCCCCTGAGAAGGTTCCTTTTTCTTAAAAAAAAGACACTTTGGACCCCCGAGAAGGTTTCCTTTTCTTAAAAAAATTGGTCTAAAGAGTTTAGTACTTCCCTCGCTGTCGGAAACTTGACGACTGCATGCCCATCATGTTTTTTTTTCACATTAGATTTTTGTAGTGGGAATTTAAAAAAAAATTGCGATGACGTCATCAACATTTTTGCAAGGACACGTATATCAGTTGGGATAGATGTAGTGTAATACTAAGAATAAAATTATTATATTCTCAAATTTTCGGGAAAATGAATTGGGTCGTTTTGAATATTGATTTTTTATAATCAATAAAATAACGAAACGATTTACTCACGTATACGGCAACTGAAAATCGTTTATGTATAAACATTCTTAATTTAAGATGACAAGCGTAACAGCATACTGAGAGTCAAACAGAGAAACTGTAAACAAAACGACCATCGGTTTTATTGCTTCGACTTCCGCTTATTATATAAAACATTGCGTTTTATTTTAATTCTTGACGGTGAAATTCACAATTGGTTGATTATAAACATGTCTATTTCGCATTCGCGGAACCAAGTGACTGGACCCCCGAGAAGGTTTCCTTTTCTTAAAAAAACACACTTTGGGCCCCTGAGAAGGTTTCATCTGCTTCAAAAAGGACAATTGGAGTCCCTGAGGTTTCTTAAAAAAAAGATAGTTTGGGCCTCCGAGAAGGTTTTATCTTCTTTAGAAATGACATTTGGGGTCCTCGAGAAGGTTTCATTTTCCTAAAAAAAGACACTTTGGGTGGCCGAGGAGGTTTTAGTATCTTAAATATCGTTGGGACCCCCGAGAAGGTTTCATCTTCTTTAAAAAGAACAATTGGAGCCCCTGAGAAGGTTACTTTTTCTTAAAAAAAGACACTTTGGACCCCCGAGAAGGTTTCCTTTTTTAAAAAAAAACACACTTTGGGCCCCTGAGAAGGTTTCATCTGCTTCCAAAAGGACCATTGGAGTCCTCGAGAAGGTTTCTTTTTCTTAAAAAAAGACACTTTAAGCCCTCGAGAAGGTTTCTTTTTCATAAAAAAAGCACGCTTTGGGGGCCCCGAGAAAGTTTCATCTTCTTTGAAAAAGACAATCGGAGCCCCTGAGAAGGTTTCTTTTTCTTAAGAAAAGACAGTTTGGGTCCCCGAGAACGATTTATCTTCTTTAGAAAAGACAATTAAGACCCTCGAGAAGGTTGCTTTTTCTTAAAAAAAGACAGTTGGGGTCCCCGAGAAGGTTTTACTATCTTAAAAAATAAGTTGTAACCCCGGAAAAGGTTTCATCTTCTTTAAAAAGGACAATTGGAGCCCCTGAGAAGGTTTCTTTTGCTTAAAAAACACACTTTAGGCCCCGAAGAAGGTTTCTTTTTCCTGAAAAATAGACGGCTTGGGTCCTCGAGAACGTTTTATCTTCTTTACAAAGAACAATTGGGCCTCCTGAGGTTTCTTTTTCTTAAAAACAAGACACTTTAAGCTTCCGAGAAGGTTTCATTTTCTTTAAAAAGGACAATCGGCGCCCCTGAGAAGGTCTCTTTTTCTTAAAAAAAGGACAGTTTGGGTCCATGAGAACGTTTTATCTTCTTTAGAAATGACAATTGGGGCCCCCGAGAAGGTTGCTTTTTCTTAAAAAAAGAGACAGTTTGGGTGCCCGAGAAGCTTTTACTGTCTTAAGACCACCGAGAAGGTTTCATCTTCTTAAGAAAAATACAGTTTGGGTCCTCGAAAAGATTTCAGTTTCTTAAAAAAAAAACAATTTGGGACCTCGAGAAGGTTTCATATTCTTAAAAAAAAGCAATTGAGCCTCCAAGGAAAATTCCACTTTCTTTAAAGAAGACACTTGGTGCCCCTGAGAAATGTTCACTTTTTTTATAAAAAAAAGACGCTGGGACCACCGAGAAGGTTTTCACGTTTTCTCAAAAAGACAGTCGAGGCTCCCGATTATCTTATCAAATACGAGCCCCGCCCACCCACCCTCTATTTTCTTAGAGGATATGTCATTTGCCAGAATCCGTCTCATCTTAGCTTGTACTAGCCCCGCTGACCCGCCCCTTGTTTTCTTGGATATATATGATAAGCCAAAATCAGTTTTATCTTAGCAAGTACTATTTAATTATTGTTTAATAATTTATTTTGCCATTTCACTATATAATATAGTACTTGCTAAGATTAGACTGATTTTGGCAAATCACATACCTTCCAAGAAAATAAAGGGCGGGTGGGCGGGGCTAAAACTTGCTAAGATAGAGCTGAACAATATTAATAGTAGTCACTGGAATGATGAAGGGGTGGGTGGGCGGGGCTACTGTTTGCTCATAAAACTAGAAAAAATCTAAATTTTTTTAACAAAAAATTATCAAAAAATCTGGATGTTGAGGTCGTATTTTATAAAATTTAAATAATATTTACTACTGTACCTTTTGGGGATAAGGTCAACAGATTGTTCGTAGAGATGATTAGCCAAAAAATTTGACAATTGGTTGAGTAGTGTCGGAGATTATCTGTTTAATAAAAGTCCGGACAGACGGCAGACAGACAGACAAACAGACAGACAGACGGAAAAAGAAGTAGACCTAAAATTCTCACTAAAAGTCTGTGAAAAATTACATGATGCACTTGTGTTATTTTTATTACCACTTTGTTGATTGGATTATTTCTTTAACTAAATAAGCATAAACAAAGTAAGTCAATAAGTTATTGATCACTAACGCGTCCCCAATGCCACGAACAAATCACACAGACATTTATAGTTCTTTTTCTATATTTTACAAAAGTCTGAGATGTCTGGGAATAGTACCTCTCAGCTTCGATTCCGAAAAAAGACAATTCACGTTACGAAGAAAATGCAGACTTCTTGGTATTGTAATTGTGTTGTGTATTATATCCCTCCAAGTGTTTCTATACTCGTTCTGCGAAAAAATCTACCCCTATTTGTTGTCTCACGTCTTGATTGGTACCGACTGGACCGTCGTTTTTGCCCTTTTACTAATTTATTTCAATCTCAGTAGTACCAAAATCGTGAATTTGCTTTCTGAAATTGACACCTACGACAGAAACGTGAACTTTTCTTATTCTTCGGAACGGCTACTACGAAAGTACTTTTTTTTAAGTTGTACTCACATCATAATTTTTATGTCTACCGACCTAATTTATCGAAGATATTCTTCAGGTAATGGGTCAAGCATTTGCTTGATCTCCTCATACCTTTCTTCATCTTTCAATTTATTAACCCGTTTACTTTTCGTGTTCTTTATCAAAGAAATCCAAATCAGATTCGAATATCTTGGAAAAGTCACGAATTCGAAACTCCTTCTCCCGAAATTGATACAACTAGGGGAAATTTGTAGGAAATTGAACGACTTTTACAATTTTCCCTTACTACGAAACTTCGGTAAGCTTTTCATTTGGTTAACTATGGACATAGTTCACGTAGTTTTATACGAAGAAGGATCAACGGAAAAATTTTTCGTGGTGATTATGAGCTGCTCTTGGTGGGTACTAAATTTTTGCGAGGTCATGCTGATCGTACAACCTGTAGAAGCTTTATATTCCAAAGTAAGTATTTGGTGGTTTAACGTAGACAAAAAATAACATTTTTAGGTTAAATTCGTTTTCGAGAAAATCAAAATGGAGCAAACACGAGGCTACAGTTTCCATGTTTTATTTACGAAGTTCAAGTTTTCAGTTGCTGGGGTTTTTCCTCTCGACTATACGGTAGTTTGTACGGTACGTGTTTTTTTCCAATGTTTAGAATTTTTTAGTTTTTAATTTCAGATTTTGGCGGGGAGTTTAACTTATCTCGTCTATATTGTCCAGTTTGCGGTTTTGGAAAAATAATAATTAAAATATATCAGTTAATAGTTTCTTTAATCCATTTTTCGAACGCCGCCACTCTTGTATAAATATCCGGAGCCCCTAGCGCACACGGTAGCCCGTATGACACCACCCCCACCAGCCTCCCGTCGGCCACCAGCGGCCCCCCCGAATCCCCGCAGCAAACCCCCACGCCTTCCCCCACCACGGAACAAATCTGGGTATCCGCCAAAGTCTCCCAGTAGCTTTGACACTCTTCATCTGGCGTGATTCTCGTGGGTAGGAACTGCAGCTCGTCGGGGTAGTACCCCCATTGGGCTAACCCCCACCCCAGCACGGTCGCTGATTGGTTGTTCGCGCCCCTGGCGATTTCAATTGGTTGGACTGAGTCGTCGAAAGTAATAGCGTCTTGGACTTGGAGGAGAGCGATGTCGTTTTCTGCAGTCAGCGGATCGTAGCTGGGGCTTTGGAGGATGGAGGCGAGGGTGTGGTGGACGCCTCCAGAGGTGATGCGAGTGCTGCCTACCACTACTGATAAGTTTGCGGTTGTGTAGCTGTTGTATAAAAAAATGAAGTCGTGACTTTATTTGGGTTTTTTTTTTTACCCTTCAACGCAGTGTGCTGCTGTCACCAGCCAGTTTTCGTTGAGGATGGAGGCGGCGCCCCAGAGGCCGTTGGATTCGTTGCGGAGGGATGCGACAAAGGGGAACTGCCCGGGGGCGGCGGTCTGCCCCCCGATTATGCGCCATTGGTAGTTGTCTATACAAGGATTTTCGCTTCTATTGGTGGCTGTCTGATCTGAACGAAGCAAAAAGTACCATTTTGAAGTACTTTCGAGTACCAATAAAAATTGTACTTACGTAAGCAGACAAATGCAATCAAAATTGTAAAAAGAGACGAACTGTTCATTTTGATCACACCCAGTTGCTATGTTTTGATAACTGATAATGATAACAAACAAGTGCTTCTTGTATCAAAATGGTATTTACTTTTAATTAAGTTATCACAAAGTGGGTAGATATACAGATAAAACCCAGTTTTACAAATTAAAAACACTTAAAGAAACTTCGTAACTGCTAAAACATTTCTAGAACGTTTTCAAATCACTAATTACAGTCTACACCGCAGGTACTTAATTCGTACCTTTAAGTACTCCCTATCTTTACGCAACCGATCTCGAAATGAGTAACTTTCCAATACCTGATAACTACGAAAGTCCTAAAAATAGCGCATTACACACAAACACAATAGTAGGGTAAGTACCGAGTACTCCACACATCGAGATGATTTTACTACTTCTTCTGCCCCTCCTCATGACGCAATCGTCATCTCAAGGTAAGTCTCACATCTCACCACACTTAACATAAAGTGGGATTTATAAACTTTAAGTTTCTTGTTGTCAAAATAAGTGTCCACATATTAACAAAGAAAAGGCAAAATATAAACCCCGCCCACCCACCCCATCCCAATTCTGATATATTTTTTTATTCTTAGACACTTAAAACGCATTTAAAATGGTAAATTGTCGTCAAGAAACAAGTATTTTGCAGTTAAGCTCCGCCCTCTTGAGACAGGGCGGGTGGGTGGGCTTACATTTTGCCTTTTGTTTCTTAATATACATAGCCATCTTTTCACAACACGAAACTTAAAACATATACATGGTACATTTTTGCAAGGAAAAATGGACATTTCTAGATTGTTCCATGAACGTCGCCGCCCCCAAGGCCCCCTTCATCCTCGACAACGGTTACAACTTTCCCACGTACGACGGTACTCACTCCATCAACTTCAAACACAACGAAACCTTCTACGTGTCCTGCCCTAAGGGTACCACCAGCTCGTACCTGTCCAAAGATGGCGATCACGTGCGATGCCTAAGCGGTACCACCATCCTCAACCTGGTAACAGGCGAAGAAGTGGATTTTGCGTCCATCAAATGCAAATCCACCCCGGTCACAAGCGTGCGAAAGTTGGACGAAAAGTGCGTCAACAACAACTCGCTAATCGAAATAGGGTTTGAAATGAATAAGAACTTCGTTACGATGATGACGGTTTGCTTCGACGATGTTAAGTTGGTACCGTTCTACTGCAAATATAGTAGTATTGTTGCTAACTTTGGTGAAAGAAGATCGGTGTTCAGCGGAAGCGACTTTTATCGAAGCTACGTTTGTAGCGAGAATGAGTGCGAGTTCGTCGATAGTGGTACCATGTACCCCTACATCAATCTAGACGGTTTGTACGACAAGCAGAGACAGATTTTGGGGAATTTGGGTGTCGTTGTGGATAAGAGTTTGTTGCGGCTTCCTCTAACCACGGATGTGTTGGGGCTCACGAAATTGGAGAGCGTGCAACAGATCAAGGTTGCGCCGTTTTTTGATTATGTTAATGTGGTACCGGCTTGGGATGCCGAGGATAGTCTCGATTTCTGGATTAATTTGCTCATGACGGAGATAATGCGAGGGGATAGGGAGGTTTTGTACACAGGATCTTTAGGGGTGCTTAGTCTGACAAACGGGGACGACAAAGAAGTGGAGATATTTTTGAGCAATAGTAGGGTACCTGTGCCGAAGTGGATCTGGATGGTTTGGAAATTTGGGGAAGATTGCCACCAGAGTATAGTCTTTCTTTATAATCATCCTTACGAACACGTTGGTACGAAAAGTGGAGAAGTGTGTAGTAGCTATGAGGTACTATACAGCAGTTTTATTATTTCGTGCGCGTTCGAAGATGTCGTGGACCCAGAAATGAAGGAGTTTATTACAAATATGAAATAAAGTAGTACCATATATTTAGTTCGATTTTTATTTTAATCATTCCCTAGATCAACTAATCGACATCTTCATCTCAAAAACGTATATAGATAGAACATTGACGCCGCAAATTTATGCGTTGAAACCAGACGCAGACTTCTATCTCGCCTGCTTTCAAGGTACTTTCAGTCCTTACATAGCGCGAAATGGTGACCAAGTGGTGTGCAAAAACAGTACTTTGATTTTGAACGCCCGTACCCAAGAAATTCTAGACTTTAACGACGTTAAGTGCCAACCTGTACCAGTTACAACAGTCGTACCACGGAACCAAACGTGCGAAAATAACGGTACCACCTTTGAAATTGGTATCGAACTTGTTTTTAATTTTTTGCCAAGAAATAAGTATTTTGCAGTTAAGCTCCACCCCCTTGGTTCACGGCGAATAAAAAAAATCGTCACAATTGAGATAGGGCGGGTGGGCGGGCTTACCTTTTTCCTTTTTGTTTCAATATGTGTAGACTTATTTTCACAACATGAAACGTAAAACATGTTTAAGATGGAAAATTTGTAATTGCAAACTCCAATTTCCTTTAAAGTTTCTAGAGGTTTTAGAGATTCTAGAGATTATGAAGTTTCTGGTGATTCTGTAGGTGTTAAAGACTCTGGAGGTTCTAAACATTCCAAGGAATTCAAGGGTTTAGAGTTTAGCAGTTCCAGCAATTCTAGATATTCTAAAAATTCAAGGAATTCTTGACGTTTTAGAGATTGTAGGGGTTCTGGGGATTGTCTAGGTACTGAAGATTCTGGAGGTTCTAAATATTTTAGAGATTTTAAAGATTCGAGAAATTCTAGGAATTCCAAAAATTCTAGAGATACTATAGATCCTAAAAATTCCATGAAATCCACAGCGGTTCCAGCAATTCTAGAGATGATAAAGATTCTAGAAGCTCTAGAGGTTTTAAAGAATCTAGAAGCTCTGGAAAGTCTGGAAATGCTAAAAGTTCGGTAGATTATAGAAATTGGAGGAATTCTAGAAATTCTAAAGATTTTAGAAATTCTACATGTTTTAAGATTTTAGAAATTTTGGAAATTCTGAAAATTCTAGAGAAAATTATGGAGAGGCAAAAGATTCTAGATCCTAAAGATTCTAGAGGTTCTAAAGATTTAGCAGATTCTAAGGATTTAAGAATTTCTAAAGATTTCAAAAATTCGAGATATTTTAATGCTGCTAGAAATTCTTCAAATTTTCTAAATTCTGTAGAAGTTAAACATTCTAAAGAGTTCAAGAAATCCAAAGTTTTAGAATTTAATGGTTGTGAGGACTCCAAGAAATCCAACTCAAGTGCTTCCAGTAATTCTAGGGATTGGAGATTCTAAAGCCTCGAAAAATTTTTGATATTTGAAAAATTATAGAAATTTTAAAGTTTCTACAAGTTCTATGGATTTTAGAGATTCTAGAGATTATGAAGATTCTGGTGATTCTGTAGATGTTAGTTAAAGATTCTGGAGATTCTAAAAATTTCAATAAATACAAGAGTTTAGAGTTTGGCAGTTCCAGGAATTTAGAGATTAGAGATTCTAAAAATTCGAGAAATTCCGAAAATTCTAGAAATATTAAAGATTTTAAGATTCTACAGATCGTAAAAGTTTCCGGAAATCCACAGCGGTTCCAGCAATTTTAGAGATTCTAAAGATTCTAGACGCTCTAGAGGTTTTGAAGAATCCAGAAGCTCTGGAAATTCTGGAAATGCTAAAACTTCTACAGATTATAAAGATTCGAGGAATTCTAGAAATTCCAAAAATTCCGGAGATTCTAAAAATTCTAAGGATTCATGTTTTAAGAGTTCTAGAAATTTTGAAGTTTCTGAAGATTCTAGAGGTTCTAGACATTCTAGAGAAAATTATGGAGAGGCAAAAGTTTCTGAATTCTAAAGATTCTAGAAGTTCTAAGGATTCAAGGAATTCTAAAGATTTCAAAAATTCGAGAGACTCTAATGATGCTAGAAATTCTTAAAATTTTCTAGATTCTGGAGGTATTAAAAATTCTAAAGAGTCTAAGAAATCTAAAGTTTTAGAGTATACCCGTTCCAGAAATTCTAGATATTGTAGTAGTTTTAGATCTTCTAGAGGCTCTGGGAGATTCCACAGATGCTGAAGATTCTGAAATGGTTCTAAAGACCCCAATAAATCTAACTCAAGCGGTTCCAGTAAATCTAGAGATAGAGATCCTAAAGCTTTGGAAAATTTTAGAAATCCGAAAAATTCTTGAAATGTTAAAGTTACAAGTTCTAGAGATTTTTGGAGATTCTAGAGATTATCCACAGCGGTTCCAGCAATTTTAGAGATTCTAAAGATTCTAGACGCTCTAGAGGTTTTGAAGAACCTAGAAGCTCTGGAAATTCTGGAAATGCTAAAACTCCTACAGATTATAAAGATTCGAGGAATTCTAGAAATTCCAAAAATTCCAGAGATTCTAAAAATTCTAAGGATTCATGTTTTAAGAGTTCTAGAAATTTTGAAGATTCTGAAGATTCTAGAAGTTCTAAGGATTCAAGAGATTCTAAGGATTCAAGAACTTCTAAAGATTTCAAAAATTCGAGAGACTCTAATGATGCTAGAAATTCTTAAAATTTTGTAGATTCTGGAGATATTAAAAATTCTAAATAGATTCTAGCTAAAATTTGAAGGTTTCGTTGCACTTTCCGAGCCCGTAGGGTATCTGAGTGGCTTAAAAGTACAAGAAAACACTTCAAAAGTGACGTTTCTGAAGAATTTTAACAGTTTTCTTGTATCTACTTACGAACGCCAGAATGCATAAAATTGACCTAAACGTCTCCTTTTCCTATTCTGAGTCGATTCTGCATGCTTTAAGTGTGTTTGGTGGCTCAGAACCATCAAAAAACGTTGAAATATAGTTCAAATTCAATAAAAATCGACAAAAATACAGTTTCTAGCTAAAATTTGATGGAATCTAAAGTTTTAGATCTTCTAGAGGTTCTGGGAGATTCTACAGATGCTGAAGATTCTGAAAATTCTAATGGTTCTAAAGGTTCCTATAAATCTAACTCAAACGGTTCCAGTAAATCTAGGGATAGAGATCCTAAAGCTTTGGAAAATTTTAGAAATCCGAAAAATTCTTGAAATGTTAAAGTTACAAATTCTAGAGATTTTTGGAGATTCTAGAGATTATGAAGATTCTGGTGATTCTGTAGATGTTAGTTAAAGATTCTGGAGATTCTAAAAATTCCAATAAATTCAAGGGTTTAGAGTTTAGCAGTTCCAGCAATTTTAGAGATTAGAGATTCTAAAAATTCGAGAATTTCCGAAAATTCTAGAAATTCTAAAGATTCTAGAGATTCTACAGATTATAAAAGTTTAAAGAAACCCACAGCGGTTCCAGCAATTTTAGAGATTCTAAAGATTCTAGACGCTCTAGGGGTTTTGAAGAACCCAGAAGCTCTGGAAATTCTGGAAATGCTTAAACTTCTACAGATAATAAAAATTCGAGGAATTCTAGAAATTCCAAAAATTCCGGAGATTCTAAAAATTCTAAGGATTCATGTTTTAAGAGTTCTAGAAATTTTGAAGATTTTGAAGATTCTAGAGGTTCTAGACATTCTAGAGAAAATTATGGACAGGCAAAAGTTTCTGAATTCTAAGATTCTAGAAGTTCTAAGGATTCAAGAGATTCTAAGGATTCAAGAAATTCTAAAGATTTCAAAAATTCGAGAGACTCTAATGATGCTAGAAATTCTTAAAATTTTCTAGATTCTGGAGATATTAAAAATTCTAAAGTGTCCAAGAAATCTAAAGTTTTAGATCTTCTAGAGGTTCTGGGAGATTCTACAGATGCTGAAGATTCTGAAAATTCTAATGGTTCTAAAGGCTCCAATAAATCTAACTCAAGCGGTTCCAGTAAATCTAGGGATAGAGATTCTAAAGCTTTGGAAAATTTTAGAAATCCGAAAAATTCTTGAAATGTTAAAGTTACAAGTTCTAGAGATTTTTGGAGATTCTAGAGATTATAAAGATTCTGGTGATTCTGTAGATGTTAGTTAAAGATTCTGGAGATTCTAAAAATTCCAATAAATTCAAGGGTTTAGAGTTTAGCAGTTCCAGCAATTTAGAGATTAGAGATTCTAAAAATTCGAGAAATTCCGAAAATTCTAGAAATTCTGAAGATTCTAGAGATTCTACAGATCATAAAAGTTCCAAGAAATCCACAGCGGTTCCAGCAATTTTAGAGATTCTAAAGATTCTAGGCGCTCTAGAGGTTTTGAAGAACCTAGAAGCTCTGGAAATTCTGGAAATGCTAAAACTTCTACAGATTATAAAGATTCGAGGAATTCTAGAAATTCCAAAAATTCCAGAGATTCTAAAAATTCTAAGGATTCATGTTTTAAGAGTTCTAGAAATTTTGAAGATTCTGAAGATTCTAGAGGTTCTAGACATTCTAGAGAAAATTATGGAAAGGCAAAAGTGTCTGAATTCTAAAGGTTCTAGAAGTTCTAAGGATTCAAGAGATTCTAAATATTTCAAAAATTAGAGAGACTCTAATGATGCTACAAATTCTTAAAATTTTCTAGATTCTGGAGATATTAAAAATTCTAGAGTCCAAGAAATCTAAAGTTTTAGAATATACCGGTTCCAGAAATTCTAGATATTGTAGTAGTTTTAGATCTTCTAGATGTTCTGGGAGAGATGCTGAAGATTCTGAAAATTCCTAATGGTTCTAAAGGCTCCAATAAATCTAACTCAAGCGGTTTCAGTAAATGTAGGGATTAGAGATTCTAAAGCTTTGGAAAATTTTAGAAATCCGAAAAATTCTTGAAATGTTAAAGTTACAAGTTCTAGAAATTTTTGGAGATTCTAGAAATTCCAGTAAATTCAAGGGCTCAGAGTTTAGCAGTTCCAGCAATTCTAGATACTCAAAAAATTCTAGAAATTCCAATTTTGACCATGTTTTAAGTTTCTTGTTGTGAAAAGATGGCTATATATAATTAAGAAAAAAAAAAGAGAAAATATATGCCCCACCCACCCACCCTATCTCAATTCTGATGATTTTTTTTATTCATCGTAAATCGAGGGACGGGGTTTAATTGAAAAATCCTTATTTTTCTACGAGAAATTACTAGGTGAAATGTGTTCTTAAGTTAATTATTTAATTAAGTGTTAATTAAAAAAGGAAACCAAAAGTTGAAGATGAAGAATTAAAAAACATATACCCTGGTATCAATGTGGATGATCTTTACAACAAACGAGCTGAAATTTTACAAGGTTTGGGTACTACAAACGTCAACAATTCTGACAAAGAAGTGGAGATATTTTTGAGCAACAGTCGGGTACCTGTGCCGAAGTGGATCTGGATGATTTGGAAATTTGGGGAAGATCGCCACCAAAGTATAGTCTTTCTTTATAGTCACCCTTACGAAAAGCGGAGAAGTGTGTAGGAGCTATGAGGTACTATACAGCAATTTTATTATTTCGTGCGCGTTTGAAGATGTCGTGGACCCAGAAATGAAGGAGTTTATTACAAATATGAAATAAAGTAGTACCATATAGTTACTTAGTTCGATTTTTATTTTAATCATTCCCTAGATCAACTAATCGACATCTTCATCTCAGAAACGTATATAGATAGGACACTGACGCAAGCTCATCAGTGTTAACATAGAAACAAAATGGTTTCCTTGTTTGTTTTATTGTCTGCAATTGTAAAAGTACTGGCTCAAGGTAATAAAATTAACTAAAAAAATTAAAGCAGTACCTTACAATCTATTTCTAGACTGTCTGCTTGACGTGTCTGCTCCGGATTCCCCAATCATTCTAAACAAGAATTTAACCTTTCCCTATTACTACTACTACGAACAAATTTATGCGTTGAAACCAGACGAAGACTTCTATCTCGCCTGCTCTCAAGGTACTTTCAGTCCTTACATCGCTCGAAATGGTGACCAAATGGTGTGCAAGAACAGTACTTTGATTCTGAACGCCCGTACCCAAGAAATTCTAGACTTTAACCACGTCAAGTGCCAACCTGTACCAATTACAACAGTCGTACCACAGAACCAAACGTGAGAAAACAACGGTACCACGTTTGAAATTGGTGTCGAACTAGAAAGGAGTTTTCTTTCGTTGATTAGTGTGTGTTTCGATGTTGATAAGCTGGTTCCGTTTTATTGTAAGTACCACAACAGCGACTGGGAGTCTAAATTGTCGGTAGCGGACGGACTAAACTACTACGAAGAGTTTGTGTGTAACGACACAAACTGTAACTTCGTTGATAGTGGTAACATGTACCCTGGTATCAATGTGGATGATCTTTACAACAAACAAGCTGAAATTTTACAAGGTTTGGGTACTACAAACGTCAACAATTCTCTGGTGAAGTTTCCTCTAACCACAAACAGCTGTACTTCTTGAGGTATCTACGAAGAGGCCAACAAGCACAGAGTGTTGCAGCTTTCGACTACATAAACGTTGTAGCTGCTTGGGACTTAGAAGTACTGAACGATTGGATTTACATATTTCTGATGTCTTCGGGACTCTCCAGTGGGGCTTTGTATTCGGGCACTTTGGGTGTGGCTAGTCTACCCAACGCTGAGGGCGAGCCAGTTGAGGTTTATCTAAAGGATGGCAAAATTCCTGTACCCATGTGGCTCTGGGCAGTTTGGGACTACGAAGATCAAATCGTGTTTTTCTTCAACAACCCGAACTCCGAAGACGGGGTTGAAGCGATTGGCGAGGTTTGTAGTACCTGGGTGGAGGAAAGCAACGCGGCCACGTTTGTGTGTTCCTTTGAAGACGTGGTCAACCCACAAATAAGAAACTTTATAGATAATCATTTTAAGCGCGAATAAAAATTAAGTGGTTTATTGTGGTTTCATTTTAGATTTGGTGTATGAAAAGTGAGAGTTTACAAATCGTGATTGTAGATCTTGGTTTTGGCGCCGATTGCATCACCTATTAATTAAATTTTTAAGTGAGTAATTAGGTAATGCATAAAAATAACCGCAGTGTTGAGTGCCTTTTGAAAACTTAACACAGTTATACTTGGAATTGATTGATTAGATAATCTTCAGGGCCACTGATTGTTATTTGTGCATTTATAGGGACGCAGAATATTAAGTTAATTAGTGACAGTGGTAGCCAGCGACACTAAGACAATGAAGGCAGTACTTGTGTTCCTATTCCTTGTTTCAAAGGCGTTCTCGGACGGTACTAATAGTTACTCAACTTTGTTGAAAAATCTAAACTGAATTTTTTTTTCAGAGTGCGATTTGGACGTTTCGGCTTCCGACTCCCCTTTCATCGTTTATGAAAATATGACATTTCCTACGTTCAAAGAGGGTGGAGACCAGATTTTTAGTCTTGACGATACAAGTCCTTTCTTCGTTGTGTGTCCCAAAGGTACGCAAAGTCCTTACCTCGGTGAAAGTGGTACTAAGATGATGTGCAAGTCCGGCACTAGTATTGTTGATCTGGAAGGAGCAAAACCCCTCGATTTTGCTAACATCAAGTGCAGACCCTCTAAAGTTGCAACTGTAGCGACAGAAAATGAAGAGTGTGCTGGAATTGGTGTCCTTTATAGGATTGGATTCAACGTTACACAGGAATTCCTTACTCTGATCACGATTTGTTTCGACCAAACCAATCTGACCCCAATTTATGTAAAGTACAACAGTACTTACAAAGAGATTGGGCGTCGGATCCTAGACCCAGACAGTCATTACGAAAAATATATATGTAACGAAACGGGCTGCGACTGGACTGACAGCGGTAGGATGTACAATGACGTCGATATCGATACGGCTTACAACAACCAGACAACCCTTTTGGACAAAGCCGGCGTCAAGAATTTTACTTTGCTGAGACTGCCTCTAGCATTGACGTCTTTGTGGAATCTAAACGTACGCAACGCCGGACAAGAAATACAAAAGATTCCGTATTACGATTACATAAATGTAGTACCGGTGTGGAACTCTTCACATCTTGACGCATTGTTTTACATGTTTGACACCACAAGCGCGGGTGGTGGAGTTGGTCCGCTTGTGTGGACAGGTACCTTGGGAGTTGGTGCTGCTGGCGGTACAGAAGAGGTTTATTTGAGCGGTGATAAAGTTCCCGTTCCAAAGTGGCTGTGGATGGCTATGGATCAATTCGAGAGAATCTTGTTCTACTATAACGCTATCGACGGCGACGAGGAAAAAAGTAAAAGTGAAATTGCTAACATATGCTCCGACCACGAGTATCTATTTGATAACATGTTTAATTGCACTTATGAATCAATAACTGACACCCAAATGAGCACGATTATTAAGGATCTGAAGCCTGACAGTAGTTCGTAGTAAAGGGTAGTTAGTTCTATCTTGATTTAAAGAAAATGTCAGCACTTTCGAACTTTATCTGACTACATTTCTCTGAAATAAAGTGAATTTTCTGTAGTCTTATCTTATTATCAATAAAACTGTATGCTAACCTACTTATTCCTTTTAACGAAATTAATTTTGATAAACTTCAACATAAGTATTTATTCCTCTCGTATTGTTCTCCTATTGAAACATAGCACCAAAAAATAATTATCCAATTACAAAAAACAGTTTGAAAAATTGAGGCACTCGACAAGTGTCAACCGTGATTAGATAATTCTCATGGCCACAGATTAAATTAAGCTTCCAAACGAAAATGAATCTATTAATCGCGGTTTACTACTCAGTTAACACAAAAACCATGAGAGCAGTAACCGTGTTTTTGCTTTTTTTCGCAAAAGTGTACTCGCAAGGTAATCCGTCAAGCTTTTCGGAAAACTCAACTAACCACTGATTTCCAGAGTGCACCTTGGATGTTTCGGACCCCGCATCGCCCATGATCGTCACTCTCGACTTAAAATTCCCCAGCTTCTCTAACGACCAATCTTTCAGTTTTAAACACAACGACCTTTTTTACATCATGTGTCCTCGAGGTACCCAAAGCCCTTACATTTCTAGTGAGACTGGCGACGAAGCAGCTTGCAGAGAAGGCACGGAAATTCTTGTTATCAGTACAGTAGCAGTTGCTGATTTTGGTGCCATCAAGTGTAGACCCAATGCCGTTACCACAGTGACCACATCGGATGAACCATGTGCAAACAACAACGGCGTGATGTTTGAGGTCGGTTTTAACGTTTCCAAGTCCTTCCTTTCTTCGGTTAAGATTTGTTTCGATAAAAATAAGCTGACGCCGATTTACTGCACTAACAACCACGACATCAGTCCTACTAGACGGGACGCAGACCCTAATTACTATCAAATGTTCGTTTGTAATGGGACGGACTGCGGATGGGCTGATGGTGGAAGCTTGTACGATACCATCAACGTAGATGACGTGTACGAGAATCAAGAAGAAATTTTAAAAAAATTGGGCATCGACAAGGTTGAGTCTCAGCTGGTGAAATTCCCTTTGACGACGGCGCTTTGGCATCTCAATGTGGCCAACAACGGACAGCAGATACGGAAGGCCCCTTTTTACGATTATATCAATGTGGTACCGGCGTGGAATACGGACACTTTTAATAAACTGCTTCAGACGCTTGATACGACGCTGGGCGATAATGAGTTTGTGGGTGATGTCGTGCGTATGGGTACCTTCGGAGTTGCTACGTTGCCCAACAGTGGAGGCGACGAGGTGGAACTGTTTTTGGGAGAAGGCAAAATTCCAGTTCCTAAGTGGATTTGGATGAATTATGACAAAAAGGAACAAGTACTTTTCTACTACAACCATCCTGACCCAGACCAAAGTGAAACTGCCATCGCTGACATGTGTTCTAAATACAATGACCTCAATACGAGTGTCTTTACTTGTTTGTATGAATCAGTAGTTGATCCAGACATGAAAAATTTAATTGACAATGATTTTAATAATAATTAAGCGTTTCGTATAATTTTGGCATAATAAATACTTAATTTGTAGCAGGTGTGTTTTATTTTCGTAATTGACACTCGAATTCAAAAAACAACAATGGAAAGATTCCAAGAACATCGGTTTTGAAAGCTTCAGTTGACGAAATAATCCTCTAGTAATCCTGCCACTATGATAAGTGAATACAAAACAAAGAAGATTCATTACACTTAGAATTGACAGCACGATTAGATAAACTATTGCTCAACAGTTTCATCTCCACTAAACCAAAACTAAACACTCAATCATTGTCTTCTAGTCCAAATCCAAAACCATGAAAGCAATCTGTGTGTTTCTCCTCCTCGTTGTAAAAACCCAATCGCAACGTAACTCTTCCTCCGGTTTTCCAAACCCCCAAAACTAATCGCTTAGTTTCAGGTTGTACCTTGGACGTTTCAAACCCCCAGTCGCCCTTCATTATCGACGAAAACCTCCAATTTCCCCAGTACGATGCGAAAAAGAACGGCACCTTCACTTTCGACAACGAAGACATTTTCTACGTGGTGTGTCCTAAAGGCACCCAGACCAGTTACCTCGGCGACAACGGCGACCATGTAGCTTGTAAAGGTGGCACGAAGCTCCTTAACATCAGATCAGTGGAATTCGTCGACTTCGTCGACATCAAGTGCAAGAACTACGCTCCTTCGACGGTCAGGAATTCGGAGCAGACGTGTGCGAATGGTAACAAAGTTTATGAAGTTGGTTTCAATATCTACGACAAGTATCTGTCTATGGTGACAGTTTGTTTCAATGAAGCTAAACTGGTTCCGTTTTATGCAAAATACGACAATCTTTTCCCTGGGAAGACCAAGCGTCAGGAATTGAAAGAGAGCGGCGACGGTTTCTACCAAGAGTTTGTGTGTGGTGGTGACTGTGAATGGGCTGATAGCGGAAATATGTACCCGACCGTCGATATGGACGCTGTGTTTGAGCACCAAAAAGAAATTTTAAAAAAGTTGGGTGTCGGAGACGTAGGAGCTACATTGTTGAAATTTCCGCTGACATCAAACGCTATAGCGTTCGCAAGTACTTTCAACAAAAGTCGAGAGTTGCATAAGGCTCCTTATTTTGATTATATAAATGTGGTGCCGGTGTGGGATGTGGCAGACAAGCTTAATGAGTTAATATTTTGGTTGCTGATGTACCCAGTGGGTGATGATACAGGGCTAAGTATGTATACGGGTACTTTGGCAGTCCTTACTTTGTACAGAACAGATGGTCAAGAAGTAGAACTTTATTTGGGCGAAGATCAGGTTCCTGTCCCTAAATGGATTTGGATGGTTCTGGACAAGAGCGAGAAAGTCGTGTTTTATTATAATCACCCTGATCCAAAAGGCGACAAATCAGAAATTAGCAAAGTCTGTAAGAAGCACGAGTCCATCTTGTCTGGCAACATTTTTTCTTGTTTGTTTGATGATGTGAGTGATTCTGAAATGCGGGAGTTCCTTGATAATGACTTAAAATAAAAAATAAGCCACTCTGATAATTGTTGAAATATTTACGTTTATTACAATATAAAAAATTATATGTATTTTATTATTTTCCTTCTAATCTCACTACACAAATTAAACTTAATTAAAAACGTGACACGATTTGATTAGATAATTCGTTCTCAAGAAAGTTAACTATAATAGATTAGGTAAGTAGTACCTACTGTCATCCTTGTACATGATTGTCCGACAACACAACAAGCAATGAAAAAATCGATCGTGTTTGTACTTTTCATCTCAACAGTGCTGGTGCATAGTAATCATAGGTGAACTTTCTGGTAAATTTACCTACTTAATTGAAAAATATTCCAGATTGTACCTTGGACCTTTCTAACTCCGAAAGGGTCCCCAGTCGTCGCCCGCAAAATCGGTTCCAGTGAGAAGAATTATTTTTTGTAACTATGCAACCCAAAGTACCGATCCACCGCAGGTAGCGACCCAAAAACACGAGAGATTATGGTCACTGTAGGGAGTCCGTCATAAAGTGCAAAGCGGTAAACAACAGCAGATAAGCTTATTTATTTTCAAATGAAGCGTAAAGGGAAATCCATTTGTATGTTTCAATGATACGACTTTTCGATATTTTAATTTTTCAATTTTTAAAATTCTAGATTTTTCGATTTCTCTAGTTTTCAGTTCTTCATTCATTAATTTCTTTGAGTCACCCTGTATATGCAAATAGAAAAAAATTTGATTGGAATGATAAATCACAAGAAGAGACTCGCCATATTTTGTACATTTTAGATAGGATTTATTCAGCAAAATTTTGTGGTGACGTCATCAATATTTTGATCAAAAATTTACCATACCTATGATAATTTTAAAACATCTTCAAGATTTCAAAGCATTCGGTTTTGTAGTTCCTGAGTAAATCAGTAAAATAAATTTATGCATTCATTTTTTTTTAGTCACCCTATATATGCAAATCCCAAAAATATGAATGGATGATAATTTACAAGTACAGACATATTTTCTACATTTTAGATAGGATTTGTTCGGCAAACTTTTGAGGTGACGTCATCAATTTTTTTGAGGGGACAAGGAAATATATTTTGAATAAAAACTTATCATGCTTATCATAACTGTCAACCATCTGCAAGATTTCAAAGCATTCGGTTTTGCAGATTCCAAATTAAATGTCGAAATGTTGTTTCCTAATTTTGATTTTTTTTCCAAAAATCTGGATGTTTCGGGTAAAATCTCAATTCGGAGTCATAAACTACAGTTATTTGATACAATTTAAAACCCATTTACTATGTACAATTTTGAAGTGACGTCATCACATTCTAGAGATTCTAGAGAAAATTATGGGAAGGCAAAATTCTGGATTTTAAAGATTTTAGAAGTTCTAAGGATTCTAGAAATTATTAAAATTTTCCGAGATTGTGAAGATGTTAAAAATTCCAAATAATCCAAGAAATCCAAAGTATTAGAGTTCCAGAAATTCTACGAGTAGATATTCTAAAAATTTTAGATTCTAGTGGTTTTAGAGCTTCTGGGAGATTCTGGAGATGTTAAAGATTCTGGACATTCTAATGGTTCTAAAGACTCCAAAATATCCGAGCCGTGTGGTTCCAGTAATTCTAGGGATGAGAGATTTTAAAACTTCGAAAATTTTTAGAAATCCGAAAAATTCTAGAAATTTTAAAGCTTCTACAAGATCTAGAGATTTTAGAGATTCTAGAGATTATGAAGATTCTGGTGTTTCTGTAGATGTTAGTTAAAGATTCCGGAGATTCTAAAAATTCCGATAAATTCAAGGGTTTAGCAGTTGCAGCAATTCTAGAGATTCTAAAAATTCTCGAAATTCCAAAAATTCTAGGAGTTTCAAAGATTATAGGGACTCTGGAGATTTTAGAGATTTTGAAGATTCTAAAAATCTTGATGATTTTAAGAACTCCAAAATTTTAGAGTCTAGCAGTTCCATTAGTTCTAGAGATTAGAGATTCCAAAGATTTGAGAAATTGTAGAAATTCCAAAAATTCTAGAGATTCCAAAAATTCAAGAGATTCTAGAGGTTTTAGAGATTTACGAAATTCCAGAGTTCCTAATGATTTTAAGAAATTTAAAATTTTAAAGCCCAGCGCATCTAGTAATTCTCGAGATTCTAAAGATTCTGGAGATTTAACCATTCTAGAAGTTCTGGAGATGCTGAAGATTCGACAGATTCTAAAGATTCGAGAAATTCTACATGTTTTAAGGGTTCTAGAAATATTGGAGATTCTGAAGATTCTAGAAGTTCTAAACATTCTAGAGAAAATATTGGGGATGCAAAAGATTCTGGATTCTAAAGATTGTAGAGGTTCTAAGGATGCAAGAATTTCTAAAAATTCCAAAAATTCGAAAGCCTAAAAATTCGAGAAATTCTAGAAATTTTCCAGATTCTGAAAATATTAGAGATTCTAAGAGTCCAAGATATTAGAGATTCTAGAGACTATGAAGATTTTGGTGATTCTGTAGATGTTAGTTAAAGTTTCCGGAAATTCTAAAAATTCGAATAAATTCTAGAACATTTAGAATCTCCAGAATCTTTTGTACCTAGGGAATCCCCAGAACCTCTACAATATATAAAACGCATAGAGTTCGTAGAATATCTAAAACCTTTAACTAACATCTACAGAATCACCAGAATCTTCATAATCTCTAGAATCTCTCAAATCTCTAGAAATTGTAGTAGTTTTAAAATGTTTAGAATTTTTCGAATTTGTAAAATTTTTCAAAGCTTCAGAATCTCTAATCCCTAAAATTAATTTTGTAGTTTCTGATTAAATAAATAAAACATATTTACGCATTTATAAATTTTTTTGAGTCACCCTGTATATGCAAATCCAAAAAATATGAATGGATGATAAATTACAAGTACAGACTCATCATATTTTCTACATTTTAGATAGGATTTGTTCGGTAAACTTTTGAGGTGACGTCATTAATTTTTTGGAGGGGACAAGTAAATATATTTTGAATAAAAACTTATCATGCTTATCATAACTGTAAACCATCTGCAAAATTTCAAAGCATTCGGTTTTGCCGATTCCAAATTAAATGTCAAAATGTTATTTCCTAATTTTCATTTTTTTTTCCAAAAATCTGAATGTTACGGGTAAAATCTCAATTCGGAGTCATAAACTACATGTGTAAGACAGTTATTTGATGCAATTTAAAACCCATTTACTATGTACAATTTTGAAGTGACGTCATCACATTAGTGGTGAGGGTGATTAATCAAATTTTGCTTAGCGTTTTACCATCTACATGATATGCCTAATATAAATACAAAATTTGACAACAATTGGCCCAGTACTTTTGGAAATTATCTGTCTAATAGAAATCCGGGACGGCACACAGACGGACAGACAGACGGAAACTCTTTGTCCTCTAGGGTCATGATAGGTCGACAAAGTACAAAAGTAGAGAGTCGGCTTACGCTCGAGAAGTAAAAATTATGACGCACAAATAATTAAAAACGCGACACGATTTGTGTTCAGTTTACCTGAACAGGGGTTTGGGCGTAGCCAATTTGTCCACCCTACTCCCACCCGCTTTAGGGTAGTTTACCTAATTTTTATTATTTCACGCTCTCGGGGAGTCGTCGAGAAGTATCGAGAGGGTAAAGACGTGCCGACCCGAGAGACCGGCAATTTATATAATTTTTGTGCGATTAAAGAAACCGTGTAACTAAAAGGTGATTTTTATTTCGCGCAAAACAATTTGATTAGATAGTTCTCAAGAATGTTAACTATAATAGATTAGGTAGTACTTATCACGAAAATTAATTAGTGTCTTCCTTCTACGTGATTGTCCGACAACACAACAAACAATGAAAAAATCGATCGTGTTTGTACTTTTCATTTCAACAGTGCTGGCGCAAAGTAATCCCAGGTGAACTTTCTGGTAAATTTACCTACTTAATTGACAAATATTCCAGATTGTACCTTGGACCTTTCTCACTCCGAATCGCCCTTTATCATTAACGACGACTTCACGCTCCCCATATACGACCCAACCAACAGAAACCAATCCCTGAGTCTTGGAAGTGAAGAACTTTTCTATGTCGTGTGTCCTAAGGGTACTCACAGTCCCTACATCGTCGAAAAGGGTGACCGCCTAGTATGTAAAGGCGGCACAAACGTTCTCAACATCCGAACAGTGAAAATAGTCGATTTTTCTGATATAAAATGTAGACCCGATGGAATTGCCAACGTGAAAAAAGTGGACAAACAATGTGCTACCAACGGTACTCTTTTTGAAATTGGTTTCTACGTTTACGACGACTTTCTCTCGATGATTAGTGTTTGTTTCGACGAAGTAAAATTAACCCCGATTTATTGTAAATATAACTATAGTTTTTTGTTTACTCAACGACGGTTTGAAGAATCAGTGATTTGTGGCGAAGTTCCTTGTGAGTGGGCTGATAACGGAAACGTCTACCTTGACATCGATGTGGAAGAAGTGTACAATGACCAAGCGGAAATTTTGCAAGATCTGGGTATCGATGATTTGGCTTTGATGAGATTCCCTCTGACAATTAGCATCTTGTACCAAATAACGTACTCCAACACTCGTCAACGAATGCAATTTATCCCTTATTTTGATTACATGCATGTTGTACCTTTATGGGATATAGCGGAGTTACGTGATGCACTCATACATCAGTTCGTTGGGACATCGATGTCGTCAGATTTCGTAGACCCGCCTATTACTTTAGGCACTCTGGGTGTTGCCACTTTGTTAAATAACGCAGGAAATCACGTTGAAGTTTATTTGAGTGAGGGTAAAATTCCAGTTCCGAAGTGGCTCTGGTTGCTTTGGAATAAAACCGAGAGGATAGTTTTTCACTACAACAGTCCCAATTCGGAAGAAGCGAAAAGAGAAATTGCTAAATTATGTTCTAGTTACATTTACAAATCTTCTAATATCTATACTTGTGGTTTTGGATCGGTGATCGATCCAGAGATGAGACAACTCATTGAAAATAACTTTAACTGAACAATAACACTTTTCATCATTTTTCATTGCTTTTTGATCAATATTGATAAATACATTTTCCTTGTAACAAAAATCTGATAAAAATAATATCAGTGCTTTATGTTTTTTTGTATGCAGGTATTTGTCTCGTAAACAATCTAGAGTTCTACTTGAACTGTAAACTGTTTCGAAATCATCAGGTTTTCGTTTTCTTGAATAAAGAAATATGTACTAATGTCTGTGAAAAATTTATTTTGGTTAAATGCTTCCTGTGTAAGTCATTTCCGCATATACACGTATGAAAATCCTTTAAAATATACTCACCAACAAGGCAAGATAGTAAGATTGGATAAATTCTAGAACTTCCAAAAAATTTTATAGATTCTAAAGAATTCCCAGATCCTAAAATTTCCAAGAAATCCACACCGGTTCCAGCAATTCCAGAGATGCTGAAGATTCTAGAGGCTCTAGAGGTTTTAAAGAATCTAGAAGCTCTGAAAATGCTAAAAGTTCTGCAGATTATAAAAATTCGAAGAATTCTAGAAATTCAAGAGATTCTAGAAATTTTACATGTTTCAAGGGTTCTAGAAATTTTGGAGATTCTGATGATTCTAGAGGTTCTAGAAATTCTAGAGAAAATTATGGAGAAACAAAAGATTCTGGATTCTAAAGATTCTAGAGGTTCTAAAGATTCAAGAGATTCTAAGGATTCAACAAATGTTAAAAATTCCAAAAATTCGAGAGACTACTGATTCTATAAATTCTTGAAATTTTCGAGATTCTGAAACTGTTAAAGATTCTAAAGAGTCCAAGTTTTAGAGTTTAGATTTTGGAAATTCTAATGGTTCTAAAGACTCCAAGAAATTCAACTCAAGCTGTTTCAGTAATTCTAGGGATTAGAGATTCTAAAGCTTCGAAAAATTTTAGAAATCCGAAATATTCTAGAAGTTTTAAAGTTTCTACTCGTTCTAGAGATTTTAGAGATTATGAAGAGATTCTAAAAATTCCAATAAATTCAAAGGTTTAGAGTTTGGCAGTTCCAGCAATTTTAGAGATTCTAAAAATTCTAGGGATTCTGAAGGTTTTAGAGATTTTGAAGATTATAACGATGTTAAGATTTTAATAAATCCAAAGTTTTATAGTCTAGCAGTTCTATCAACTCTAGAGATTAGAGATTCTAGAGATTAGAAAAATTCCGAAAATTCGAGAAATTCTAAAGATTCTAGAGATGGTATAGATCCTAAAAGTTCCAAGAAATTCACAGCGGTTCTAACAATTCTAGAGGTTTTAAAGAATCTGGAAAGTCTGGAAATGATAAAAATTCTACAGATTATAAAGATTCGAGGAATTCAAAAAATTCCAAAAATTCAAGAGATTCTAGAAAGTCTACATATTTTAGGGGTTCTAGAAATTTTGGAGATTCTGAAGATTCTAGAGGTTCTAGAGATTCTAGAGAAAATTATGGGAAGGCAACAGATTCTGGATTCTAAAGATTCTGGATTCTAAAGATTTTAGAAGTTCTAAGGATTCAGGAGATTCTAATGATTCTAGAAATTCTTAAAATTTTCGAGGTTGTGAAGATGTTAAAAATTCCAAATAGTCCAAGAAATCCAAAGTCTTAGAGTTCCAGAAATTCTAGGTATTCTAAAAATTTTAGATTCTAGTGGTTTTAGAGCTTCTAGAGGTTCTGGGAGATTCTGCAGATGTTAAAGATTGTGGAAATTCTAATGGTTCTAAAGACTCCAAAAGAGCCAAGTCGTGTGGTTCCAGTAATTCTAGGGATGAGAGATTCTAAAGCTTCGAAAATTTTTAGAAATCCAAAAAATTCTAGAAATTTTAAAGTTTCTGCAAGATCTAGATATTTTAGAGATTCTAGAGATTATGAAGATTCTGGTGATTCTGTAGGTGTTGGTTAAAGATTCCGGAGATTCTAAAAATTCCGATAAATTCAAGCGTTTAGAGTTTAGCAGTTCCAGTAATTCTCGAGATTCTAAAGATTCGAGAAATTCTAGGAATTCTACATGTTTTAAGGGTTCTCGATATATTGGAGATTCGGAAGATTTTAGAGATTCTAAAGATTCAGGAGATTCTAAGGATTCAAGAAATTTTAAAAATTCCAAAAATTCGAGAGACTAAAGATTCTAGAAATTCTTGAAATTTTCGAAATGAAACTGTGAAAGATTCTAAAGAGTCCAAGTTTTAGAGTTTAGATTCTGGAAATTCTAATGGTTCTAGAAACTCCAAGAAATTCAACTCAAGCAGTTCCAGTAATTCTAGGGATTAGAGACTCTAAAGCTATGAAAAATTTTAGAAATCCGAAAAATTCTAGAAAATTTAAAGTTTCTACACGTTCTAAAGATTTTAGAAATTATGAAGAGATTCTAAAAATTCCAATAAATTCAAGGGTTTACAGTTTGGCAGTTCCAGCAATTTTAGAGATTCTAAAAATTATAGGGACTCTGAAGATTGTAGAGATTCTGGAGGTTTTAGAGATTTTGAAGATTCTAACGTTCTTAAGATTGTAATAAATCCAAAGTTTTAGAGTCTAGCAGTTCCATCAATTCTAGAGATTAGAGATTCTAGAGATCCGCAAAAATCCGAAAATTCTAGAAATTCTAAAGATTCTAGAGATTTTATAGATCCTAAAAGTTCAAGAAATCCACAGCGGTTCTAGCAATTCTAAAGAATCTAGAAGCCCTGGAAAGTCTGGAAATGATAAAAATTCAACGGATTATTAAAATTCGAGGAATTCAAAAAAATTCCAAAAATGCAAGAGATTCTAGAGAAAATTATGGAGAGACAAAACATCCTGGATGCTAAAGATCTTAGAAGTTCTAAGGATTCAATAGATTCTAATGATCAATGCGCGGAAAAGTATCTCAGCAGTGCAATTCCCCAGTTGAAGTAAGGTGTGTTTTACAGCGAGTAGTGGGGACGCTTTGATCTGGTCCACAAGGACGTTGCCAGTGCATTTCGTTAGGAGTGTTTACGATCGCTAAACTTACTTCAAATAATAATACGCGATCCCCTTTTTAATTTTTACACCACAGGACCGCATGTTTGTTACATTGAAATGTTATATCATACAAAATGGCAAATTCATTTGTGACAAAATGGTTAAGATTGATTAAATAAGAAACCAGATTGCCGTGTATTGTTATAGCAACAAAATGAATTGAGGAATCTTTAATATATATAACTGCTAATGTTAGAATAAACGTCAGTAATAAAATTTATTATTGAATGCATTTGTTTGTTGGCAAGTTTCAAAAATGCGGTCACATAATTTAACTGATAAGTTTAAGGTTTTAATTGATTCAGTGTGCGTCCGTTGGTAACAAATGTGTCAGAATTCATGAAAGAGACCTTGTGGGAATAGTAGATGTGTCCGTAGATGAACGTTGAGGAATCGCCTAGGAAGGATTTTCGTTGCGCTTTGTGCTCGCGCTAGCTCGAAGTGGCGAGGCTCACGTGCCCCCACTTCGACGCGACGGCACTGAGGGAGTGAGATAAATTTCCGCGTAGTGCTAATGATTCTAGAAATTCTTAAAATTTTCGAGGTTGTGAAGATGTTAAAAATTTCAAATAGTCCAAGAAATCCAAAGTTTTAGAGTTCCAGAAATTCTAGATATTCTAAAAATTTTAGATTCTAGTGGTTTTAAAGCTTCTAGAGGTTCTGGGAGACTCTGGAGATGTTAAAGATTCTAGAAATTCTAATGGTTCTAAAGACTCCAAAATATCCAAGTCGTGTGGTTCCAGTAATTCTAGGGATGAGACATTCTAAAGCTTAGAAAATTTTTAGAAATCCGAAAAATTCTAGAAATTTTAAAGTTTCTACAAGATCTAGAGATTTTAGAGATTCTAAAAATTATGAAGATTCTGGTGATTCTGTAGATTGTAAAGATTCTTGAGATTCTAAAAATTCCGATAAATTCAAGGGTTTGGAGTTTAGCAGTTCCAGCAATTCTAGAGATTCTAAAAATTCTCGAAATTCCAAAAATTCTACGAGTTCTAAAGATTCTGGAGATTTTAGAGATTTTGAAGATTCTAATGATCTTGAAGATTTTAAGAACTCCAAAATTTTAGAGTCTAGCAGTTCCATTAGTTCTAGAGATTAGAGATTCCAAAGATTCGAGAAATTGTAGAAATTCCAAAAATTCTGGAGTTTCTAAAGATTCAAGAGATTCTAGAGGTTTTAGACATTTTCGAAATTCCAGAGTTCCTGAAGATTTTAAGAAATCAAAAATTTTGACGTCCAGCGCTTTTAGTACTTCTCGAAATTCTAAAAATTCTAACGATTCTGGAAGTTCTGGAAATGCTGAAGATTCGACAGATTCTAAAGATTCGAGAAATTCTAGAAGTTCTACATGTTTTAAGAGTTCTAGAAATATTGGAGATTCTAAAGATTCTAGAAGTTCTAAGGATGCAAGAATTTCTAAAACTTCCAAAAACTTTCCAGATTCTGAAAATATTAGAGATTCTAAAGAGTTCAAAAAATCTAAAGTTTTTGAGTTTACCGGTTCCAGAAGTTCCAAATGTTTTAGCGGTTTTAGAGCTTCCAGAAGTTCTAAAGACTCCAAAAAATCCAACTCAAACGGTTCTAGTAATTCTAGGGATTAGAGATTCTAAAGCTTGGAAAAATTTTAGTAATTTTAAAGTTCCTACAAGATATTAGAGATTCTAGAGATTATGAAGATTCTGGTGATTCTGTAGATGTTAGTTAAAGATTCCGGAGATTCTAAAAATTCCGTTAAATTCAAGGGTGTAGAGTTCCAGCAATTCTAGAGATTCTAAAAATTCTCGAAATTCCAAAAATTCTACTAGTTCCAAAGATTCTAGAGATTCTGGAGATTTTATAGATTTTGAAGATTCTAAAGATCTTGAAGATTTTAAGAACTCAAAAATTTTAGAGTCTAGCAGTTCCATTAGCTCTAGAGATTAGAAATTCCAAAAATTCTAGAGATTTTAAAGATTCAAGAGATTCTAGAGATTTAAGAGATTTTCGAAATTCCAGAGTTCCTAAAGATTTTAAGAAATCAAAAGTTTTAAAGTCCAATGCTTCTAGTAATTCTCGAGATTCTAAAGATTCTAGAGATTTAACGATTCTAGAATTTCTGGAATGCTCAAGATTCGAGAAATTCTACATGTTTTAAGGG